TTCTTTGCATTGATTTAAAACATGTTCTTTTAGCTCACAAAAGTTTCTCCTTATCCACTTTCTGAAGTCTAATTCCGTCATTTCGTCACAGTCATTCTCCGTCCAGCTTTGTTCCCTTGCTGGTGAGGAGTTTTGTTCCTTTCTAGGAGGCAAGGTGTTCTGGTTTCGGGTGTTCTCCTCCTTTTTGCGCTGGTTTCTTCCCATCTTTGTGGATTTATCCACCTGTCATCTGTGTAGTTGCTGACTTTTCGATTGGGTCTCTGAGTGGATACCCAGATTGTTGATAATGAAGTATTTCTGTTACTTGGTTTTCCTTCTACCAGTCTAGCCCCTTCACTGTACGACTGCTGAGGTCCACTCCAGGCCCTGCTTGTCTGGGGTGCACCTATAGCAGCTGCAGAACAGTAAGGGATGCTACCAGTTTTTTTTTTTCTGCTATCTTTGTCCCAGAATGATGCCTGCCAAATGTCAGTCTTTTGGATATAGAGGGGTCAGGGAGCTGCTTGACAGAGACAGTCTGTACTTTATAGGAGCTCAAGTGCTGAGCTGTGAGCTCTGTTGTTCATTCAGGGCTGTTAGGCTGCTATGTTTAATTCTGCTGCAACATAACTCATAAAAAAAACCCTTTTTTTCTCAGATGCTCTTTCTGGGGGGGTTGGGGCTTTTCTTGTGAGTGTCCGCCGTGCTGTCCTGCCCAGCTAGGAGTCAGTCTAGTCACTATTTGTCTGCCGAGGCTCCGCCCTGCTGGCTTGAGGTTCGCCCTGTTGCTGCAGGCTCTGCCCTTCTGCTGCAGTCTCCGCCCTGCTGCCATGGGCTACACCCTGCCACGGAGTTTCTTTGTTGTAGCGGGTTGTCTCGGTAATGACAGGCTGCGTCAGCAATGGGCGTGTACCTCAGTAGGGGCGGTTTGCCTCGGTAATGGTGGACGCCCCTCCCCCACGGAGCTGCAGTCTCAGGGAACCCCTCCATGGGGAGCATTTGGAATCACCGTTTTGTTTGTCCCACTGCGCTACCCCAAACGCTGTGACCCTGTAATCTCCTGGGCTGGCTCACTGTCCAAGTCTCGTTCAGTTTCAAGTTCAGCCCTCCCAAGTCTCAGGTTGATGGCCTAACAGGGCACCCAGACAAGCACGCTTTGTGTGGAGCACTGTGTATCTCTGCCACAGCGCGGGCTGCCGCCGCACCGGCCGCCGACTGCACCAGGCAAAACCTCTGCCTGGTGTCCCGCGTCTCCTCTATACCTAGGAATTTCCCCATTCTGTGGGCAACAATGATCCATCTGGAAATGCGTCCCTGACTCACCCCCTCCGTGCATTGACCACGAGCTTCAATCCTGGGTTCTTCTCACAGCGCCATCTTCTGAACATTTTTTTTTTATGTACCTTTTGGCCATTTGTATGTTTACTCTTGAGAAATGTTTATTCAGATGATATGCCCATTTGTAAATCAGATTATTTTACTATTGCTAATGAGTTCCTTATATATTCTGATTATTAATCCCTTGTCAGATAGAGAGTTTGCACATATTTTCTCACATTCTGTAAGTTGTCTCTTCACCAAATTGATTGTTTTCTTTGCTGTGAAGAAGCTTTTTAGAATGATGTAATTCTATGTCTAGTTTTGCTTTTGTTTCCTATGCTTTTGAGATCTTATCCAAACAATCATTTTCCAGACCAGTGTTCTAAAGCATTTCCACAATGTTTTCTTCTTGTAGCTTTATAGTTTCAGGTCTATATTTAAGTCTTCAATTCATCTTCATCTGATTTTTGCATATAGTAAGAGATAAGGGTCTAGCTTCATTTTTCTGCATATGGATATTCAGTTTTTCCAGCACCATTTATTGAAGACTCTCTTTTTCACCACTGAAAATTCTTGGCAGCTTTAAGAATCAGTTGCCTGTAAATACATGGATTTATTTCTGGGTGGACGTCTAAGCTTAATATGCCTTGTATGTACAGGCTCTTGGACAGAAATGATAAATTGATAGACATTTCCAATGTTGTTTTATAATTATCCTAAATCTTGTCCATTACCCATAAACGAAGTCTCACGAATTTGAAACCCCCTTTCACACAAGGAAAATGTGATATAGACACATAATGTCTATAATACTAAATAAGACCAAAGTTGTGGAGTTTTACCTTTATGCCTCTAAGTGGAAATTTTACAATGTATAGTAAATTTGCTTATAAAACTTAGAAAAACTAAATTTTTTGTAGTTTTTTGTTTTTGTTTTTTTGAGATGGAGTTTTGCTCTTGTCGCCCAGGCTGGAGTACAGTGGTGTGATCTTGGCTCACTGCAAGGTCCACCTCCCAGGTTCAAGTGATTCTCCTGCCTCAGCCTACAGAGTAGCTGGGCTTACAAGCGCCTGCCACCATGCCTGGCTAATTTTTTTGTATGTTTAGTAGAGACAGGTTTTAGCCATGTTGGACAGGCTGGTCTCGAACTCCTGACCTCAGGTGATCCGCCCACCTTGGCTTCCCACAGGACCAGGATTATAGGTGTGAACCACTGTGCCTGGCCAATTCTGTGTTTTTAATATTGTAATTATTTTCTTCATAAAGCAAAGTAGTATAATTTGCTCTAAATTTAATTTACTAGTATCCTAAAATTAATTTGTGAAAGAACTTGTATACATTGAAGTTCTTTACACATACACATTGATGGAAGTTTAGAACATTTGAATTTGTCAGCAGCTCCTCTCCTTCTGTTCTTACCATTTCATGTAGCAATACTCTTTCCTTTGAAAAACTCCTCCCATATGATGCATTTGATTGGAACCAGTGCCAAGGTCAAATCTTTATATAAATCAGTCAGTTCTTCATAGAGAATACTTTGGACAAATCCTCTTCTTCATCGGCCAGAGCACTTTTCTCACTCAGATGAAACTTCAGTTTGAAATGCCACATTCATCACAAAATGACTAAAAGTGGAACTAGGCTCATCAAAAAGTTCTTCATTTCATCTTCATAAATGTATGACTTCATGTGAAGGCTGGAAAAACTACCTATAGAGATTGCAATATAATGAAAAAGGAGATGGAAGCATTGACTGCATGGCTTGCTGCTTTCAAAACTCTTTAATCTTTCTGAGGCATCTTTAATTTCAGAATGTTTAAGTAGCTTTAATTCTTAATATTAAAAAGTTAAGATTCTTAATACCTATTTTTTATTAAAAGCCATAAACCCATAAAGCTCAGCAATTTCCATTTCTATTTAAAAGTTAATGACGTGAGAGAACAAGTGCTGTACCACTGGAGAATTCAGACCACAGCTGAGGAAAGCCAAGGGATGAGAGCTGACATCAAACTCCAATTGAAAACTTTTTTTTTAAAATAAGTCTGTCTGGTAAATAATTCATATGGTTTACTTTTTTCTACCTACAAATTCTAAATTGGACATTCTAAGTGTAGAATTCCACAATGCAGCTGAGGAAAAAGAGAAAATGAGTAAATGAGAAAATTATTAGACTGTATTTTGATAACTTATGAAACATAAAATGGAATTTATTGAATCACATTTTAATCACTTGAATTTTTAAAATGTTTAAATTCTCAAGTTATGCTACATAAGTTTCAAGAGATCACTAGTACTCAATAAATTTATGTTGAATTTAGGTGTGTGGATGAGCCTAAATTCTCAAGTTATGCTACATAAATTTCAAGAGATCACTAGTACTCAATAAATTTATGTTGAATTTAGGTGTGTGAGGGATGAGCCTTCCCTCGTAACATTGCCTGTTATGAGGGAAGGCTCATCCTTTTTTCTACTAAGAAACATAGAGAATAATTGTAAATAGCCCTTAGTCTGAATCATTCTTATGCTATATCATAGACACAGACCAATGAATGGGTTTGATAGTCTGGAGTCTGAGTTTACCTCCTTCATAGTTAAGATACATTGTTAATTTGGTTTACTATTTCAGAAAGCATTAAGTTGTTCTTTATTTATCTCCAAGAATCAAGTTTCCACTTACCCATTTATATATAACATAAATTATATTATGAGTTCAATTCATATATTAGGACCAGTTTCTTTAATTGCTATGTATGCCTAATTACAGTGCAGTTTCTCATATTACCTGAGTTGAAATTAATGCAATTCACAGCAACAGTAATTATACTTAAAGAAAAGTGAAATGTACTTAAAGGAGCTTTTATTTTTTTTTTTGAAATACATGGCACTCTCATAAGGAAAACTTTGCCTCATCTCTTACTATATGTTTGAGCCAGGAGCTTGCAGTGAATCAAATAAATAATGTTTTTTTATAGGTGTAACTAATAAAGAAGTAAACCTCAATAGTAAGAAATCAGTTACACCAGCAGTCCCCATCATTTTTGGTGCCAGAGGCTGGTTTCCTGGAAGACAGTGTTTCCATGGACTGGGATTTGGGGTGGAAGGAGCGTTTCGGGATGATTCAAGCACAGTACATTTATTGTGCACTTTATTTATATTATTATTACATTGTGATATAAAATGAAATAACTATACCACTCACCATAAGTTAGAATCCGTGGGACCCTTGAGCTTGTTTTCCTACAACTAAATGGTCCTATCTGGGGGTGATGGGAGACAGTGACAGATCATCAGGCATTAGATTCTCATAAAGAGCATGCAACCTAAGTCCCTCGCATATGCAGTTCGCAATAGGGTTTGTACTCCTATGAGAATCTAATTCCACCACTGATCTGACAGGACGCGGAGCTCAGGTGGTAAAAGAGCAATGGGGAGCAGCTATAAATACAGATGAAGCTTTGTTGACTCACTTGCCACTCACTTCCTGCTGTGTGGCCTGGTGCCTAACAGGCCATGGACCAGTACCAGTCCATGGCCTGGGAGTTGTAGACCACTGAATTACACAATAGACTGCGAAAATCAGATAGGTTCCTCTTCTCTCATATGCTCTATTGTTTGGTATCAAGATATTCTATTACTGGGGGATAATTTTGTTTTTCTGTAATATTCTCAATATTTTTGTTGTTTGTACATTTTTTTTTCAGTCAAGAGAATCCATCCCATTAAATGACCTAAAATCAGAAGTATCACCACGGATTTCAGCAGAGGACCTGATTGACTTGTGTGAGCTCACAGTGACAGGCCACTTCAAAACACCTACCAAGAAAACAAAGTCCAGTAAACCGAAGCTCCTGGTGGTTGACATCCGGAATAGTGAAGAGTATCTTTTACATATACTGTTTTAAAGGGTGGGATATTGCTATTTATCATTTAAATGGTGTGTGGTAAAAAAAACACAAAAGAACATTTCTTGGATTCTTCTCAATTCTAGTAGTTAAATTACTCTCAAACTGGATCCAAGAATGGTCTTGCATAAGGTTTTATAAGATAACATTACATACGAGAGACCTTAAGATGTTTTCCAAACAACACCAGAATATTGGGATATTTTCTTGGTTTTTGTGTTTCTCTGGTGCATATTCTTGAAGGCATTTGAATCCTTTATTCTATAGATAGGAATTGTGGCAAAGATGAAGAATAAGTATACACCTGATCTATCTCTAAGCCTAAAGAAAAAGTTTGCTACATCTCAACATTGACCTTGTGTTCATTATAATTTTCAAAACACTGGCTTACATAGAACATGTAAGAACTGGCTTACAGGAGGCCGAGGCGGGTGGATCACAAGGTCAAGAGATCGAGAGCATCCTGGTCAGCATGGTGAAACCCCGTCTCTACTAAAAATACAAAAATTAGCTGGGCATGGTGGCGCGTGCCTGTAATCCCAGCTACTCGGGAGGCTGAGGCAGGAGAATTGCCTGAACCCAGGAGGCGGAGGTTGCAGTGAGCTGAGATCGCGCCATTGCACTCCAGCCTGGATAACAAGAGTGAAACTCCGTCTCAAAAAAAAAAAAGAACTGGCTTACATAGAACTGCAAAGTGTTTTTTACTAAGATTTTACTATTGAACATACTATAATATCCAGTGGGTTTGATTGGCATTAGAGTATGAAGAGTTACAAAATATTAACAGTTCAGTCTCTTCTCCTTTTATTTTCATTCTCTTCAGATTCTTTGATTCTGTATTGTCTAGAATCTAGATAGTTTTCACTTTGTTTTTAAACAAACAGAGCAACTCTTAAAATCTTTCTTAGAAACTCAATATATAAAATATCAATGAATTTTATTATAACCAATTTTCTTCATAAGTTCAAATTTATAGCATTTACTAACTATAAATGCTATAAATGAAGGTTAACATATTAGTGGTTTCTTATATGCTAAAATTGGCATATACAGGTTACTTATCATGACTCCAAAATGCTTATGACAATATTTCAGATTTCATATTTCTTAGGATTTTGAAATATTTCCATTTTATATATATAAATAAAAATATATAATTTATATATGTAATATTTTTTTATTTATATAAATACATATATAATCATATATATAAATAAAAATTTATATATAAATATATACACACACACACACAAGTTCAGAATACCTAATCCAAAAGTCTATAATGAGCATTTCCTTTGAGCCTAATGTTGTTGCTCAAAAAATTTCAGATTTTGGAGAATTTCAGATTTTAGATTTTTGGATTAAGGATACTCAATCAGCAGTAAATTTTTATGTTCATATTTTCAATTCCAATATTTGAAATGAAATTTAAATTACACATTTACAGACTCAGTTAAGTAATTTATAAAATCTTAGGTTTCTGACAGCCAGCACAGTTTGAGAGCCCACAATTTCAAATGATTTATTTTCATCATTTTGTGAAAAGTTGCTACTTTTTATTTTTCTGGGTTTGAAGAGAGTGTAAATGTTGATATTACTAGTTGTTAGGGTTTCGGGGATACTAGAAATTCTTTGCAGAATGGGTGAGTAGACTCCCGAAAGAGGCATTAAATTCTAGTTAACTGGTCAGAACCCCTAGTCTAGAGTTCTTCTCATCTTATACTTCAAGAGTTTTGAATTTTTTCAATGTTTTTAGATTTTTAATTCATATTTCTTTTGCTTGAGTCTTTATTCATAGCCATTCTCCCATAAAACCATAAAAATAGCATTATAATACTCTATTTTAATTTTAAAGATAATTACTAAAATTAATAAAATAGTTTATTCATATACCACTTCTCTGATATTTTCTTTCACATAATTTAATTAATTATTAGAACTTTTAAAAACACACACTATGTGAAAGCAATACTAAATCCAAGGTTTTCCAAACCTCATAGCTTGATTTTATTACTGATACCCTCCTTTATTGTCTGCAAGATATATGCAAACAAAACAGCAGAAAGCAGAGCAGCTAGCCTGAACATTGTTCCCTGATGAATATGGATGAGTTACCTAATGTAGGAATGCCTCTGTGTCATCCCACAATATTTGGTCCAGTGTTGGAACTAAGCAGAGACCTGGCCTGAATGTTTTACTGTCTATAGTCATCAATATTACCGTGTGCCACCTCAGAGTGAGTTGAGTCTAGAGCAATGAAGAAAGGAAAATGAAGTCATCCATCTTTTATGAACCTCCCAAAGGGCCCAACTTATGAAATTTTAAAAAGCCATTGTGTAAATCTATTTTAAAACTAAAGTGTTCTTAAAGTTCAGCCCTTTATCCTAACAACCTTCCTTTTTTTCCCCATATCTTGTTAGTTTACCACACATCTACTCCTGTTCTACCTCTGAATACCAAATGTTGGCACCTGTGTTTCATAGTGCTTTGAGAAAAACCACAAGCTTAACTCTTCTCCAAGAGTTGTGTATCATTAGGTCTCTTCTAGTGTCAAGAAGCTAGTGAAAACTTGAAAGTTGTAGGTTCTAAGATCCCCTTTGATTGAGGTAGCTTTCCAAGTCTAGAAAACAGATAAACCTTTTTTGATCTATGATACATGCTATCTGATTACATTATATGAAAATAAGTAGCACTTATTTCTTACTATTAATCTTAAATCCTATTTTCAGGGAATTGAAAGAGGGGAAAGGTATATGCCTTGTAATAATAAAGAGATTCATAAATTTAATAAATATGTTAGAATATGATTTTTTTAATATTTCAGTATCCTTAATAGCAACCAGTGAATATTATTCTTTATGGTACTGTGGACAATTGTTTAGGAAGAAAGTATAAAATAAAATTTTTATTCGCTTATTTGCTTTTAGTATGAGGAACCTGGAACATTAAAATATTTGATATGGAAAATATATGAGCAGTAAAGATGATACATAATATGTATTAAATGAAAGGGATAGGCAAAAAATACGTCAACAAGGACATAATCTCTGGGTAAGCAAAAGCCAGACTGGGATAGAACTCTACCTTTTCAATCTTTGCAGCCCCAGACTTAGCCCCAGACTTAGCACCAAGACTTAGCACCAAGAAAATACCCAGAATATATTTAAAAAAGTAAAAGGGCAGGATGACAGACAGGAAACACTAGTGAACCACAGCCTCTTATCTATAATATATCCTTCAAAGTTGTGAAGTTGTAACATGAAGACACAGTTGGCAATAAACAAACCTTTTTTTTTGCATTCTATTGCAAACTGTGCACCTGACAAAGGTCTAATATCCAGCATCTATAAGGAACCTAAACAAATTTACAAGAGAAAAGCAACCCATTAAAAAGTGGGAAAAGGACATGAACAGACATTGACTTCTAAGGTCCTTCTCCATTTAAATCCAGAAGCAAGTCAGGACTTACAAGTCATTAGAATTTGAACTTTGTCCTAAAAAGTACTCATTTCATCTAGCATTCATTCATTCATTGAACAAATATTATTATGTGCCACTCTGTGTGTTAGATTTTGGTAAACTGTTGGTGACCAAATGACAAAAAAAAATGGCAAACTTATGGAAATTACATGTTAATGGGAGAAAGAAATAAACAAATACAAATCTAAAATGATCTTAGGTAGCAATAAGTACTATAAATAAAAATAAAAGGATAGGAAGTGACAAAGTTTTGATAGAGTCATTCAAGGAAAGGCTTGAGAAAAGGAGAAATTTCAGCAGAGCTGAATGATGTGAAGAGGCAGGCTATAAATAATACAGGGAGGAACATTCTAAGCAGAAGGAAGAGTAAGGTCAAATACATTGTTGTGTAAACTTGAGTTGCGTTTTGGACCAGCAAGGACACCAGTGAAATAAGAAATCAAGTGAGAGGAGATAAAGTTGCTGAAGCCCCATGATAATTTATTGACAATCAGAAATCTCCACTGTTATTTTAGAATTATTAACATGCCCCTTACCTCACCTAATACCTATATCCACTAATGTATGAAATCCACAATTAGAGATTTATGCCGTTGGGCTTGAGGCATTTTACTGTCCTGTTAAAGATATGGAAGCAGTAATATATTATGCCTTACTTGTTACTGTAGAAGTGGCACTGAAAATGAATAGGTTTTTTTTCCAAATGTATAATTTTTTATTTTAATTTTTTTATTTTAGGTTGGGGGGTACATGTGGAGGTTTGTTACATAGATAAACGTGTGCCACAGGTGTTTATACATATTATTGCATCACCCAGGTTAAGCTTGATACCCAATAGTTATCTTTTCTGTTTCTCTCCCTCTTCCCACCCTACCTCCTCATGTAGACCCGTGTCTGTTGTTTTTTTCTTTTTATTCATAAGTTCTTATCATTCAGCTCCCACTTATAAGTAAGAACATGTGGTATATGGTTTTCTGTTCGTGCACTAGTTTGCTGAGGATAATAGCATCCAGCTCCGTCTAAGTTACATAAAAGACATGATCTCATTCCTTTTTATAGCTACATAATATTTCTTGGTATATATGTACCATATTTTCTTTATCCAGTCTGTCATTGATGGGCATTTAGGTTGATTCCAGGTCTTTGCTATTGTGAACAGTGCTGCAATGAACATTCTCAGGCACATGTCTTCTTAGTAGAATGATTTATATTCCTCTGGGTATATACCCAGTAATAGAATTGCTAGGTCAAAAGGTAGTTCTGCTTTTAGCTCTTGGAGGAATTACCATACAGCTTTCCACAATGGTTGAACTTACTTATATTTCCAACAGTATATTATGGATCCCTTTTCTCTGCAACCTCACTAGCATCTGTTATTTTTTTACTTTTTAATAATACCCAGTCTGACTGGTATAAGATGATAATCTCATTGAGGTTTTGATTTGCATTTCTCTAATGATCATTGGTATTAAGCTTTTCTTCATACACTTGTTGG